CCAATGGCATTTTCATTTCATGTCTTCCTATCCAATATTTGGTCTTGCCTTATCTACTCCTGCCCTTGGCTTGCTGCTGTGCATAATCTCAACCCATTTCACAACATGGGTTATCCAAGTGCTTCTAAGGCGACAATCATCATGTTTTCATCAAAATTTAGAAAGCCAGGTTGAACCTTCTCTTAAAATACTCCTGCTCTGCACATATAGCAAGTGTTGTATAAGCTGTAAACTACAGTCAAATGTGTAAAATTCCAATGTGTATAAAGTGTGTACGTCTGGTTACAGTGGCAAAATTCAGTGTATTTATGTAACTCTATAATGATGTGAGTAATTATTATGTAGGACTTCTGATATAAACTAGATATGATAAAACAAGGTATAAATGTATCATTTAAGAAAGATTTTAGAGTTTTATATGTAATATAGATATATGGATGTTATTTTTGTGATGGAAGCTATTCTAGTCTATCAGCAGATTTGTAAATCACACTGTTAACTGGGAAAAAGTGTTATTACCACTTATATCTGCTTTCTCAGTTTACTTCTAATGCATGAATATAGATTTTTTCTGCTGGCAGAGAAGGCTGTATTGTGCACTGAACTAGAGAAGGAGTCAGTGTAAATTCTCAGTCTACATCAAATTCCTCATGTAGTTTAGATGCACTACACAAATGGATAAAAGATATACTGTCCAATGTGCTTTATCAATATCTGTAAGTATTACTTCAGCAGACAAAATATCTATTGTCTGGTACATTTTTTTTCCACTAAAAATAATTTAGTCATAATATCATTTGGCTTCTTTGCAAACATTCTCAAATTAGGTCCTACTGAAGGCCTTAACATAAAGAAAACAATTCATATTTTCAAAAACAACAGAAAAACTTGCATCAAAATTTAATCATATTCACATAAAAGCTTAAAACAAGTATCCAAAGGGAACATAGCCATTCACATCTCTTCCAATCCTTTATTTTATAAAAGGGAAATGACTGTGTTATGATGGCTAAATAATTTTATCAAGAACTCAAAATTACTTGTAATTCAAGTACATATTTGATACTTAAAAATGGGAATAAACTCCATTAACATGAATTGATGTTACAATTCATCATACAACTGCAATGTATGATGTATTTGTGTTTTATACTCATATTTGCCTCATTTCCAGTTCCTGTACATTCAGACAATTTGGTCTTATAATTTATGCCTTGCAGAAGTCAGCTGATGGTTTAACAAACAGTATTTGGATTTTTTGATATTCAAATGAACAAAATGTATATGAATCCAGAAAGAAAATTCAGAAGTATTCAAAGGAATATGATAAACATAATGAGACTGTAATTTCCAAATGACATTTTCATAATTACAGGGGAACTGAATTGAGATGAAATCAATATTTTCTTGAAAATTGGGGTAGAAATATTATCTCATTGGGGCGTTACAGATTATAATATAATCTCTTTCATTTTTATCTATTATCCTAACCATTAGCTTAACCCTTTGAGACAGGGTACATGTCCTGTCTGCTGTAGTTTTCTTGTGAATTTTGTGGCATACAGATGGCTCCACAATTGCTCAGTCACCAAGGAGTCAATTAGCAGGCCCTGCATGACCTCACCTGATTTCCCCATTCCTTGAATTTTGGGATTCTTTTATGCTAACAATACAATTACTGTCATCATCATCATTAGCATTATGATTATTACAGTGTTAAGAACAATACCATTACCTATAAAATAATTCAGAAAATGATCTTTCCAAAAATCAAGTTAAAGGGTAAACAAGAGACACGACTAGTAATGGATCCTTGGTAATTAAGTATTTGTGGAGTCATTTATGCATCTACACAATCAATAAACAAATCACAGTGAACATGACATGCCTGCCTTGCCCTCCCAGCACATTGGTTTAACCAGGAGTGCATGTTTTGTCCACTGAGGATTTTTTTATAGACTTTATCAAGTACTCAAATACTATTTATCCCATTCCATAAATTTAGGGAAGTATTTTTTTCATTATCAATGTTAATAACATTATAATAATAATTATTATAATATTCATAGTAATTTTACAAGAAAATTAAAATGAGATAAACAGGCAAGATCAGGAAGGTCTAGTATTTGACTCAGGAAAGTTATAAAACAAAACAACAGTAAACTGTGCATTTATCCTGCTTCATTGGGTTAAAAAAGGAAAAATAAATAGAAATAGAGATCCCCTACAATAGCTGACTAGTGCAAGAAAATCTTATATTTCATAAACATTAATCTATTTTTGTACCTTTTCACTCTCTTACCTTAATTGATAAAGTAAATAATGATAGATGTTTGGAAAATAAAACATAGATGTAGTATCGTTCATCTCATTATCCTTTTTATTATCATCTTATTGTCACTGGTCTTTTTAAGTACCTACTGCACTGGTGAGCCTACAGACAAGCCATTTACCAAGATACTAAAAAAGAATAATAATAATAATCTAAACAAAGGTTTTGAGAGTAATACAAGAATAAACACATTAAATTTCCTACGATGAGATTTACCCTAAACATTAGGATTAGTGCACAAAAAAAAAGGCAACACACAAAAATCAACTGAAAACACTATGAGTCTGGAGAATGTTTGGGTTGAGACTTATCACAGGTGCAAGACTTAATATATAAAATGCAACAAAATAAGAGTAAGCTCCTGTAAACTGGGGCTTTTAACAGAGGAGGTGATTCATACACACTTACACTGCTGATACATGTGTCTTAACACCTAGATCATCTTAACCCAAGTGCAAACCCTATGACAAGGACACATGCAACTCTAAAGTAGTTTTGTCCATTTGTAAGGTCTTGGCTAATGTGATGCCATGTGGAATAGGTTGTTTAGTGTTTCAGTGCATGACAATGCTTATAAGAAACAATCTACATTAATGAAATAAGTGTAATATATGAGTAATTTAGTAATTTCATACATCAGTGCTAACAATATAAAAATAATAATGGTAGGCCTTAACAGAAAGAGAGTTGCACATACATGAACAAGGGGATGATTTTTGGGAGATGCCTTAATACTACAAAAAAATAAAAATAAAATAATAATAATAATAATAATCTATCACACAAGAGCCTATCACAAATATGAGACCATGATAATGTCAATTGAAAAGCCACACTTCTGAGGTCTTCTACAAAATATGCACTAGCAGATTGAGTTAAGGTACAGTGGAAGTAGTTGCATGGACATGCACAATAATGAAATGTATCCAATGAAACAATACCTTTTCTTTTCTACAGCAAGAAAAATAGTCCAAGGATTTAATGCATTTTACAGAATTTTAAAATATCAGATCTCGTGTCTTTCAAGTTAGATTAGTTTTACTACTGTCTTAACATGGTATTAACCATGACTTATATTAATCCTGAATTTGAACTTCATTAGTAAAGGCAACATGGACTTTTGCATTACATCAATAATGCACAAAGAATGACTATGAAAACACTTGCATTTCACTGAAGATCATAGGGTCTCCAAATCTGGAGGGAGAGGTATATTCTTCTGGTCAGCAAATTTTTTAAGGGCTTCATAATTCTGGAACAACCGATCAATCTCAGTTCGCATATTGTGGTTTTCATTAATAAGTTTCTCAATGTCAACTTGTTCTGTTGTCCGCTCAGACTCCAATTCATCAATCTGCTCTATTCTCTTGATTCGACAGCTGGAAGCGAGTTTGAAACATTAAAGAGCATAATACATTTCTGAGATAAAACAGCACCAGTACTGTACTTATAATAAACTTATCAATCTAAAGCATGTCTTTGGTAATGGGATTAAAGATACTTCAAGTGTCATCCTGTCTAAGTGCTTTAGTATGAATTTATCTTCATTAATGGTCCACTAACTGAAGCTGTTTGAATCTAAGTCTTGTATTTGTAATTTGTAGTTAAAGGCTCTCTCAGTGGTCACAAACCATAGTCAAGCCTGTAAGGATATGCTTACATTGTCTAAAAAATAATGCCACCTCTTCAATACTAGCCCTTCAGTCTGCATCAAAGAAGTCCAAGTCTGTTTGATATAGGTTATTTCATAATGTCACTTTAGTGCCTGATTCAAACCAGGTCTTTGTTATTTAGCACCCAATTCTCTATCTGTCACTGTTTGCTACGTTTTACATGATTGCTGTCTGTGTTTAATCTGACTGTTTCTAAATATTTTGTTTGTCTAGTGTGTGTCATCCAGTCTCCAATTTCAATGTGACCATGTCTTCAAACATATGATCCTATCATGTATTGTCTAACTTAACCCTATTAATCTTGTTTGTGTTTAATGCCTAAAATTGTATTGAATTATATTTTGTTATAACTCCTTAATATAGTTCTCAGTGCAGTCCTTTCTCTTTATTGACAGATCTTGCATGCAAAGTTTCTTGCTGCTTAAACATTATGTCCTCAGATTACGTAAGGGATTAGGTGTACTTTTCTTACCTTCACTATATATTGCCTAATCAGGTCATGCCTCTTTAATCTGGGTCATGTATAATTTTACACCTTATCTTAAAAACTAAAAGCTTTCTAATTCATTTGAGTTTACCTTTAGTTTCCTTCAGCAGAAGTGGGAAGTATTTCAAATTCCAATTCCATTTTTCAATCAAAATCAAAAATAGAATCCTTTTTCATCAATCTTGAAAAGAACAATCTGTATAGCTATTCACAAAAATACAAATATAAAACAATCTTATCATTCAAATTTTATAACTAATTTTCCTTTTTTTTTTTCATGTGACAAATTACATGCATCATGTTTCCTTTTTATACCATTTTCTGAGTCATATCCAAATACTTACCTTGCTGCATAGCCTCTATTTTTTAATGTTCTTCTTCGTTGTTTCACCTTCATTATATCCTCTCTGCAGAGCCCTCGGAGCTTTAGCTGCCGATTGAGGTCCCTGACACTAGCGCAGACCAGTTCATCGTCACTAATGTCAAATGGGGTTGGTGACAGCGGGGGCTTCTGGCAAAAGGTAACACTCCTAGTTCTGTTTCAGATTTATGTCCTATTTGACAACAGCAAGTTTTTTTTTTTGTTTGTTTGTTTGCTCTTTTGTAGCTCCTTGGGCATAAGTTGTTAGAAAAAAATAGATGAATTTGTTAAAAAGAAAAAAATATATAAATAATTAAATTTTATACCTTACCATTATGATACCAAGTACACTTTATCTATTAAAAAACAATTAATTTGTAAATGGATAAAAAGTATATGAATAAATACAATCTCTCTCGTAAATGCTTGTTCAATATTACTATAGAAGCTTGCTTTACTATTTACCCTAAAGCATATCTCTTCCAGCACTCAAATAATATTGCCGATGGAAGTATAAAAGGTGGAAATCATTTATAAACTCTGTACCATAATGAGATAGACCTGCTATCTAAAATCTAATATCTTGCATTTTACATTTTGAAAACCATATGAAAATTATTAAAATAAAATCACCCATCCATGACCTATTATTAAGTATACTGTATTACACTTTCCTTATAAGCAGTTCATTAATTCCATACAAATACCTACACCTGGATTTGATAAAGACTACCTACCATCTTGACAAAGAATGGCTCTTTCAAACCATGAAAAATGTAATTTTCATCAACCAAAAAAAAAAAAATCTAATTATGTCCTTGTTTGTTTAACTCACGGTCCTACAACTATCCCTAAAAATGAGTATGATGCCAAGAAAAGAACAGACATTCTGTAATATGATTACAGATCAAATGACACCACTGTAATAACTAAAGACAACATGGGAAACATATTAACCCTAAGTGAAAATTGAGTACTCTACATGAAATAAACAACTGCTAGGTTCACCAAAGACTGACAAAACAAAATCTCCAAAGATGATCAATAAATATAATGAGTCTAAGGACACAAAAATATCAAGGCACCTAGAGAAGATTGCTAAGTACAACAAAATAAAGATCCTGTTTACAGCAGCCCAAAACATCTGATTTGAATGAACATCAAATTCAGTCCAAAGATTCTAGGTATGAAGACTGACGCATCAATACATAAAATATTCTGATAAATTATATATCTCACAAGCTTGTACTTGGCTTTACTATTTCTGTGCTTCCAACTAAACAACTTGGTTTTTAATCAACAAAAAGAAGATTGCCAAATATGAAGTGGAAATCGCCCATAGCTGCAAACAAGTATATAGATACATTAAAATCCACCTAAAAGACCACAATGTCTTACACAGCATTTCTATCCATCACCATTTTATCACTACAGATTGCGAGAGAGAGGCAAGGACATCCAGTATTTAAATAAGGAAAGGGAAAGTTTTATCAATAGAAATTTGTGATTATTTCATGCTAGTCTATTCTACTTATCTTTAATTTATTTCTCTACTTTGTGCAATTGTTGCTCGTATCGTGTAAGCAAGTTAACTGGCAGGTTGAAACATACCTATATACCATGTTACATAAAAACTCCAAGCTAGATATAGTAATAAATATAGATATATATAAATAAGTGAAGAATAAAGATAGAAAATCACTCTCTGAAAATTTTTAATTGATCCCTGTTGACCAATATAATCATCCTTTCATAAGATGATATATTAATACATAACTATTGGTTGATCTTTTGATGCTTTAATTGACCACCTTTCATTTTCAAAGAACATAATCATTAATACTTAATTAATCCTGCAAATTAAGGAACATTTCTCCCAAGATAAGCCTTTATGCAACAGGTTTTATCAGCACTGATCAAAACACAAGGAACTACAAAGACTTGAATAACCAACATTTAATTCCACTTGCTTTACTTTGCCCCATATCAATAAAATATTACTTGCAAAAATGCAGACTGCAAAAAAAAAATTCTATATTGACTTATATTAAATTCTATATTTGACTATATTTTCAGGTAAATAAAACAAATGATCTGGACACTTAACACTCTTTTAATTTACTATCTACAAGTTTTGAACTAACATTATTCCATTAAGGTTATAAAACAGGCTAAAGTATGGTCTCAACGATCCTTAGGTACGAGTTCACACACTCGGACAAAAACACAAAAATCTTCCTAAAGCAACACTACTGACATGTTGCATTTTAGACTTTCAAGAGTTTTATCTGATAAGACTTATCTCTAGAGAATTAAAGAGAAGCTATCATAAAAACTAGATCCCCATTTACTTAATAGCTAAGTTAGTCCTGAAACAATTGTGTTAACAAGGAATCAGCCCTGATAACCATCTATAAATCTCTTATTTTGAACCACTGATTAAGGCATTTAAGAACTCTCTTTTTGCATTACAATTGGAATGCATGAAAAATATATATATATGACTATTAACACACTTGTTTTTGCAACAATCAAAGGTTCTCTAGGTCAGGAGGTAGAGGTATGTTCTTAAGGTTGGCAAATTTCTTCAAGGCTTCGTAATTCTGGAACAATCGGTCAATTTCGGATCTCATGCTGACATTTTCGGAAACGAGTTTATCAATATCGACTTGCTCTGTGGTGCGTTCTGACTCTAACTCATCCTTCTGCTCTATTCTCTTGATGCGGCAACTGGAAAAGATCGGGGCAACTCTTTCATAATTCTATCCCTTTGAGAGGAAAAAAAAAAAGTGAAAAAAAATGCACAACAGTATTGCACAATTTCCCGTCATCTGCCGAATTAGAAAAGATTAACCCCTTCCAATTTGTATCATCATATGATAAAATAAATAAATAAAAAAAAGATAAAAAAAAAAAAAAAAAGATAAAAAAAAAGAAAAAAAAAAGAAAAAAAAAAAAAAAAAAAAAAAAAAAAAAAAAAAAAAAGTTTTCATACTACCTTGCAGCATAACCTCGGTTCTTTAGGGTTCTTCTGCGCTGTTTCATCTTAATTATGTCTTCTCTGCTGAGACCTCGCAGCTTTAATTGCCGATTGAGGTCCCTTACACTAATGCTGACCAGTTCATCGTCACTGATGTCACAGGGTGATGGTGAGAGCGGGGGCTGGTGACAAGAGGTAACACTGCTAGTTCTACTTTGATTCATTTATATATACATGCACATAAACCTACAAATTTAAGGGCCATACAATACTCAACTTATAATCTACTTCAAGGGGCTACCATCTGGGCAAAACTTTTGGCTTTTTCTCAAAAAGATTAAAAAAAAAAAATTTGGTGAGTAAATAAAATGAAAGGAATATTGATATTTGGTTTGTAAATCAATATCAGATTCTATTTTGTCATAATATTAGCATATACTGCAGAATAAAAGCAATTAGTTATAGAATATTTGTATACATTAGCTTCATGGTATACTGTATACATAACAAATTACTATCTTAGAAAACTAAATTACTTATATTTTGTTTTCAGTTTTTATGTCCACACAATAACAGATATTAAAAAAATAACTTTTCAAATCACATTTTAATACTGTAAACAACAAAAATATGGACTATTATAAATTTGTGAGATTCTGATACTTTTCTTTTGATGAAAGAAAGGAGCACAGAAAAAATGTTGAGAGATATCAAATATTTATCCTATTATCAAAAAAATCAAAAAGATAACATAGCGAAGATCACTGTTTTTTTTTCATTTATCTTTTCTTCTTAGCCAATACCTTTAGCCATGAAAAAGATGAAAATCAATTCATTTTTTTACCCAAGCATGATAGGCCCTTAAAAAAATATTAATCCTTTGCATGTTCTGGTTATATTTGAACGGAAAACGGAAATCACTCCAGCACTACATTCTCCCCGAGTTCTTCCTCCTATCACATGAAACAAAATGCTAGTTGGAGGTGCTCCCTCTATTCATCTATAAACCTTGATAATTCCCTCTTAAATGAAGTACAACTCCAAAAACCATTCATGACCAAATTAACTTTTAAAATGACATCATGCCATGCATCTTTTGGGAAAAATATGTTAGTTATAGTCACTCCCACAAGTAAAGTACATGCGCACCTTGTCCACAGATTATGCCTCCATTCGTCGGCACAAAACACAACATAATTGAATATAGTTTCTCAATACTAAATTCTTTCGGTGATTTTGGTTCCACTTTTTGTAATATTGAGAAAACCCACATAATTATATGTAAACAAGTAATAAGTATTCATAACTGACCACAAGTTCCTTGCTTATATAAATAATAAGCATAGGACTCATGTTTCCCAATGAATTTTTCATTAATTTTGTTCAGCCATGCAATCATCATAACAAACCACTTTCTTATCAGTACAGTTAATAAATAAATACTAAATAAAAATGAAAAGAATGATTAGGAAAATTCTGGATGCGAGTTGTCAAGTAGGATTATATATCAAATTATGAATCCTAGAATAGAAAGGCATTATAACCCCAAACTTGAATAACTAAAAGTACTGCAACATAGAGCTGCACTCATTCACATAAAGTGATAAAAAAAAAAAAAGCTCAAATTTAGCTTTAACTAATATATCAATACATTACATATATATATATATATATATATATATATAGACACATTCCCCCTACCCCAACTTGCAATTCTCATAAACTACATTACATACACTAAGAAAAAAAAAGTCTGACCATCCATTATTAACCTTCCTTAAACGGCCTTGAAAATCACATCCTCATCTGGTGACATGTTGCTAGCTCTTCCCTGTTTTTAGATATGGACAATTTCAATCCTTTGCAACGTCAACGGCAAGAACCAAAAGCACCAAGAGATTCTTTTCTTAAGAGGCCTTGGTCATACTTTTCTGTGGATGTCACAGGCAGGTGCACATAGTAGGTAAGTGCATGTGTATGTGACTGTGATAAGTCTTATGAATTGATATTGAAATGTTAATTACATGAGTGAGTGGGTGGGAGGGAGGGGGGGAGAGAGAGAGAGAGAGAGAGAGAGAGAGAGAGAGAGAGAGAGAGAGAGAGAGAGAGAGAGAGAGAGAGAGAGAGAGAGAGAGACAGAGAGAGACAGACAGACAGAGAGAGAGAC